AGTCCGGCACCCCCCACCGGTACCTCGCACACTGGCAGCAACACCGGGAGTGGGTCAGGAGGAATGCGCAGGTCCAAAAGCGGCGTGCGCGCGCTGCGCAGACGGTCCCGAGCTGGCATGGACGATGTGGAGCTTGGCAGCGGCGCTCACATTGCAGGAGACACGCCTGCGTTGGACGGTGCTGCTGAACGATCAGATGAGCTCGAGGCAGGGGCATCTCATCCGGAATACTGGATGTTGAGCCCCTTTGCATCGAAGCTGGACGTTGAGAAGGGCGATCCGGTCGATGTGGGTTTTGCGACCATGTCGGAACTGAGAGACTTGTTCGACATTTTCTTCAACCGCATCAATCCGCTACTCAACCTATTGGATCCGTTTCTCCACAGCGTTTCCTACACGCGCAGCCGATCTGCCCTCTTGACGACAGTCATTGCCGCATTTGCTGCGCGTCTGAGCGATTCCCAGCGCGATGCAGAGCTGGCAGTCCTCATGGAACGGCACTGGCGCGAGACGCTCGTCCCAGAAGTCTTGCTTGGCGGTTACAAGTCAGTGGAGCTGAGCCAGGCCTTTTTGCTGCTGTCACTATACGGCAAGCCGACTCAGCGACTTGCCGACGACAGGTCTTGGCAGTACTTGGGATACGCGATCCGAACAGGCACAGAGATTGGCATCAATCGCCGCGTCGCACCCAGCGAAAGCCTCGAAGACTCCGAACAGCTCAGACGGCGCATCCGCAATCGATGGCGCACTTGGATGTGCTTGTTCATTAGCGACCGAACTTTGAGCGCTCAGACCGGTCGCCCTTTTACGATTAGTACCGACGAGCTCATCAGCAGCGTGGGCACCAACTTCCATCGCGCCGACTGGGCTCTGCCGCAAGACGTCAGTTTGGTCAGCCTCGTGCAGCTGCGCCGCCTGATTGCTCAGCATGAGAGCGCCTTTAACAACTTTGTCACTGCCGCGCTCGTCGCCCAAGGCGCACCCAATGCTCAAGGAGAGGAGCCGGATGGGCGTCGTCGAAGCGGAGACGTGGATCTGCGAGAGCTCGAAGCATACCGTCAGCAAGCCAATTCCGACCTTGAGAGATGGAAGGAAGCGTGGTGCGTATCGGCAGCGGATGAAGCGCACGTTCAGAGTCTGGCCATGGCAGATTTCTTGGTACGTTGGCGTCCCACTGCTATGCTGCACTACAGGCATGCCCGACTCTACCTCAACAGCATTGTCCTGCAGACCTTTGAGCAGCACAGTGGCGAAGAGTACTCTATCCCTACAGCGCTCGACTGCTGGAACAACGCGACAGCCCTCATCGACGTGCTTCTTGACGACATTACGCAGGAGGATCTCGAGTCGTCTCCCAATCAGACCGCCATCATGGCCACCTGGACCGCGATGACAGCGCTTCGCCTCACAAAATTGGACCGCGTCAAACATCCCTGGGTTGATCGCTATGCCATCATTGATCGAGCCAAGCGTCTCGCAAAAGCTTTGGCGCGAGCTGGTCGCTCTCCGGCGCATCGCAATGGTGCTGCTGGACCGTACGGAAGCTGGCTGCGATCTGTGCTCGAGCTGTACATTCCAGAATCCGAAAGAGCAGATCACTCTGCCGCCTCCCCGCTCTTGCGCACGAAGCCAGACGTCAAGATGGACGCTTCTGAAGAAATGTCTTTGAACGGCGACTCGACCAGCCCCTCGGCTTCCAGCGCTCTCGTGGGTCTGGCTCTGGACGACGCTGCACCAGATCGCTCCAGCTCTGAACCCAGCGTCGCGGCTTCTACAGCGATCTCTGAAGCGGCGACCTTGCTCGCGCATACGGTACCGCTCCTGTCGAGCAGCAACGAGATGAGTGTTGAAGGTGCTATCACGACGGCTGAGCCAGTTTCCCCACAAGTGAAGCCCAGCTCTGGTTCGGTGATTGGTCTCACCGAGGCCGAACACCTCTTTGCTGCTGGTCTTCCGCTCACGCACGGCTCCAGCTCGCCCGCAAATGTTGCGTCTCTGAGCAACAAGAAGCCAGATGCGAGCGACTTTGCGCGAGGTGCTGCGATTGCTACCATGCCTCCCGTCGCTCACGGCACGATTGGATCTGCTATGCCGTCGACTACAACTACCGCGGCGGCCGCGGCTCCACCGCCAAACGGCGAGCATCAGCCCTCTTGCGATCCCGAACACAACATTGATATGGCTTTCGACTACCTTACTGCTTTCAACAGTCCTTCGTCTGGCTTCCCTGGCGGTTTGTGGCAGCCGCAGTCTACCTGGGGCGGCGGCATGTCCTGAAGTCATGCACTACGACTAGATGCAGGCCTTTTACAACAAATTCGTCTTGCACCCTTTTTTTTTTTTTTTTTTTC